ATATTTTAAAACCAGCACAGATTTGTATGTTAGGATCAATACAAACATCCTGTGAAGAAAAAACTGAGGTACATGAATATTGCAAAAAAAGTGCCTTGAGACATAGCGTGCGGTTATTTCTTGGTTTTCCCGGTTACTTGTCAAATTCACTGGCCCGCAAATTGAGATGCCAACGTTCGGATCACTCGGCAACTCGTATGATATATTGATCCATTCATATTTAAATTTATTTTTCAGAAGGATGATCAGCGGTCCTGAAACACCAACATCATGAGTTGTAATAATTTGTCATATTCTGCAAATGCCAACATAAAATGTTAATAGTGATGTTATACTTTTGGTTATCATATTTCTTAAGATATAAGATAATGAAAACTAGCTAGGGGATTAGGGACCATCAGGGCACCCGATGGAAGCGATTTTGATGGAGGGCCCATGCATTAATCATGTCAAGCTAAATCGAGCAAAAAATTACCCCCCCCCCCTATCGTGACGTTTTTCCTATACCTAATGCATTGATTGTCACAAAATCTTAGACCTCCCCTCCCCCCTTAGAGCGTGACATAATGTATGCATCAACCCAAAGAATGAAAATGTCAACTCCCTGTTGTTAGAATTTCTTGGACTAACACGCGTAATGTAAAAAGTTACAACAATAACATGTGTTATATTTTCTGCATCTGTGTATGAACACAAAATAAAACAATTGAGTGAAAGCAAACCTAAGCCCAGCCCTTCTAGAGATCGAAGATGCAGGAAAAAACACCTTTTCGAGTTTTCGACCAGTTTCGAAAGTACAGAACATTACCAGCTCCTGGTTTCCCATGGTTTCTTTCTTTCAAAAGTTAGTACTCAAACATGGAAATGATTTATTTCCGTACACAACGGCCAACATGAATCAGCTGTCACATCGTATGTAATGCATATCGCGAACGGTAGCATCGCTAAAAACGGTTTAATTTTTCTTCCATCACCCGCGGACTACTTGCCTACCTACACTGCGGACAGAGGAAGACTGAAGAGAGTGAACCCTGTCCTGTCCGACCGGCAGCGACGACGCCAAAAGTGGACGTGACTGGGAAACAAGAAAAGCGACTTTAAGTCGAAACGAGACCTCTTACGGTCACTGGATTTTACTGCTTTTCGTTCGCGACGCAATCAGATACAATTATTTGTTTCTTATTTTGTTATTGCAAGCGTAATGCAACGGGAGAACTGCTTATTATTTTATCACATGCTGTTTGAAAACTCATTGTTCGGATAACATCAAATCAAACAGGCTTAGCACCAGAGGGCACTGCGGTTAGTTTATGAAATCTATATTTTATAAATCTGATAATAAACATTCTGATTAAATGAAACCCGACAACGCTTGCCGAGTGCATTTTGGTCTGATTGACCTTTTTTTCCATTGCATCGCACAGTTGGGTTTCTACCCGTTTTGGGAGAGAAATTGAAACGGGATAATTTCTTCTGCTTCTGGGATCGCCATACTTGGCGGAAAACGGCTTCAGAAAACCGAGGTGGTGTCAGTCAACAACCACAACAGTATTATTTTTAGATGGCGAATGAGGAAAATGTACAAGCAATAACCTCAAAAACACCTTAAGTTGAGCAGCGGTTTGAATCTTCAGATCAGCCGATTTGATGGTGTACCATAGCCCAGAGGCAAATTGATCAAACATTTTGAAATAAATTTCAGCAGATAGATATTAAAGGCAAACTAATGTTATTTAAATCATTGCTGTATGTATCATGTATCGTTTATTATTGGGAATTTTTTGTCACTACAAAAATAAAAACAAAACAAAATATTGAAAATAAATGTGGATTGAAATAGGGGAAGCTTATTGCGCCGGAGAAAAGAATTACGTTAGATTTTTAATAAAACATTTTCTAATAGGGTGGGTGAGCCAGTGGTGGAGGTACTAAGCCAATTTATTAATTAAAAAATAAATATACGATGCACACACAATTCTTATACGTCAATCTATAGCTTTCAACCTCTTTTTTGATAGAAAAATATTACATTGTAATAAAATTGCATACAATTTTAGAAAACTCATCCTGCATTAATAGGGACACTGTTGCAGTAGTTGTGGTAGTTGCTAACTTTGGTTCCTATAATAGTGAAATGCGTTGGTTTCTTATGGGTTCCACTATTATAGGAACACTACCGCAACTATTGGTGCAAAGAAGTGAAAGTCTTAAGGAAAATTAATTATTTTCCGTCACTTTTGGGCATATTTTAAGTTTGAAATATGCAAATTTGCTTTATTTTAGGAGAGCCACCGATGAAAAATAATCTTATCCGGATCCTCCTCACTTTTCCGGCACAGCCTCCATACCGCAACTATAGGTACACCAATATTACTGGAACACCTAGCCTATGACCTATCGATTTTGATTTTTGCCCAACTTTAGATATCATAATGATATAGAAAAACCTGAAATAATACACCTATGGTAAGATTTACCCAATGAAAATTTAACCAAACGTTCCCCCATCAAGCTGAACAATGCATTAGGTTCTAAGTAACATTGACAGATAATCTTCGTTTACTTTATCTTTGCATTATCATGGCCATGTTGAGATATTCCCAGCTAGTTTCAGCACACATATCGATGAAAGAAGCTATTATCTAGCTTCTAGTACGACAAACACGACAAGAAACGGTTATGTACCCAAGTTATTAACGAAAGAGAAATTCGATGAAGAGAATCGATCAAATTTACTTAGGATTGTTCAGCTTGTCATGATTTGAGGTATCACATGATGGACCCGAAACATGACCGGATGTGGCCAATGTTGTTCTGGAAACTCCAAATGACTACAATCTAACTGGTTTTTGAATTATCATATCATTTGAAGTGTCACATGATAGGTTTTATTCGTTTCAGGTCGAATATAGTCTCATGGCCCTCACAAACTGGAACATGTTCCGGCCTTACCTCCAGAACAAGTTGACAAATTATAAAAATATGAGGTTTTTTCATGTCTTACATATTTAAAGATTTCCAGTGACATAGTGGTTTAAAAGACGATTTTTATGTTCTTAATCGATAGCACCATGATAACGTTTATATTTTGGATATATGACTTTTCTGACTAATCCCCCTAAAATACTGCAAACTTAATTAATCCTAAAAACATAATAAGTAACCCCTTAATATTATAACAGATTTGGAAAGTGCGATGAATTTTCTATAGGAAATGCTCCAAAAGTTTCTGTACTGTAGCAAAACGTTCTAACGTTACGCAACATAACCGCTCATTAAATCCTATTAATACTCAAATCAGAAACATTTAAGCAATTCTGATACACGGCCGATGATACTAACTCGGAGACACAAAGGTCACTCAGCCCTGGGGTCTGGACTATACGAGAAAAATTTGACATGGCCAGCTCCTTTTTGTTAATTCTCAGATACCTATGACATTTTTCGCGCAACCAAAAATGATGAACATCTGCGTAACCATTAAATGTTCATCAATCTATAGGGTGTTTTGAGGATGAGCCCCAGGCTTCCAAGCAAAGCATTATTATGGGCCACTATATCCACTACATTTTAAAATATTCCAAAATTGAAACAAAATGTATACTCAAATTTTAATTAAAATTTTTGATTTTGCGAGACAAAAGGGGGTCTTATGAAGGCCACACCTCAAGTCTCAAGGCCACATTCCATAACGTGAGTGGATCAAAGTGATTACGTCAAACTATAATGTCTAAAATGAACCACATGCCCCACACAACCCCTAGAACGGCTCCCATACACTCTCCATGCGGAATCGTGATGCAGGTCAATTGAATATGTCTAAATGAATTAGTTGCAATGATAACAGTAATGACAATATAGTATACTATACTATAATATATTGAATAATATTAATATTTACCTGTTAATAATGATCGAGATTGGTGAAAAGTAAGAGAAGTTGTTAGTTGATTTTACCATCACAGAGTTTGACAGTACTGCGATGGTATATTATTATGATGCTGATTAGACGAATCCTGAGAAAGCATGATCCTCGTCGTTAGAGAAACCTTTGAAATCCGGGATGTTCAGTTGATCATCGCTACTTGAATCACTTAGAGTATCTTCCGAGTCTTGTCGTGGCTATTTTAAACTCGCATCAGCTATTAGCCACCTTTTGCCAATAATCCACCGATCGACCGCTTCCTTCTACATCGTGTTTTATTTTTTTATTTTTTTGCAGCCATTAGACTTAATTATTCAGAAAAGCAATACATAGTTAAAATCATAATTCTAAACTACACAATTATTCAATTTTGGCTCTCAAATTGTACACATATAAACACGAGAACCAATTCCTCATCGATTGAATGTTTTTTCATCAAAAACCATTGAGATATGAACTGCCTAGAATCGCATATCAGTCCCATATGGAAAAAGCAGGCATTGATGAAATGAAAGTCGAAGTTACGAAGTGCAATTTCCATGTAAATCTTCGAAAAATCATAGCAAATTCATTGATAATTTGTTCGAGTTATAATCAGTTGCAATAAAGTTCGCATGTTTTGTTATATCAGCGAATAATATGGTAATTTGAAAAACAAAACTGTAACTTGACTTCAAGAGGAATAAGTTCAGAATGGGACTCACATATTTCACGATCAAAGTCCGTAGTTTTATCACATACCTAATATAAAAGTAGATGCAAATTGAGGGGATGTCCATATACCACGTGGACACTATAAGGAGGAGGGGGGTTGCCAAATGTCCACGGTCGATACAAACTAAATATATATATATATGGATGATTGTCCACGAACGGGAATGGAGGTGTCTAAAACCTCTCAAGAACTGCCCACGTGGTATATGGGCAGCCCCTAAACGTATTTCAATCAAACATATCACGGCATTCAAACAATGTGACTAGGAGTTTTGAAATTTATTTCTCTCAGCTGAAAAGCTCTTTATTGGGTTTCCATTAAGCATTGAAAACAAAAATTTCTATCTTCTTTCCATTTCAGAGCCCAAGTGATCTCATGTCAACAGACATTTACAAATTGAAGGACAGGCCGCCCAGGTGCCCGTCTGCATCAGGAAAATCTGAATCGCATTACGCTAGCATATCGACTGCTTCCTTCGGCGTCGGTATGAAGCCTTCCCAGCGGTCGGGACTTAATAGCAGTAGTGAAATTTCCTCCAGTGCCTGTGCAACACCTCCACAGAACCGAAGACGCCTCTTCAGTCCCAAAAACCTGCGAAGTCCATTCGGTTACCGTAGAAGCAATACTGCAACCGACAACTCGACGCTGTCTGGTAAGTTCTCCAATAAGACACTTTCCGTCAACCGTCAAAGGGTCAATACTTGAGGCCAATTAAGAGATCAAGCCACTTAATTGCTAATATTTTAATATCTGCTCCACACTGTCCGGTCGCCAATAACCAATTCCGTTGATTATTCACCAACCAATCAGCGGGTAGAAGCCTGAGAACATTTCTGTAGATTCCTTCCGTATACCCTATAATTACGAGGATTTATGATAACATCACGGCATCGGGATCCATTTTCATCGCATGCATTAGGGCTTTTCGAGAAAATTCATCATCACCATCGTTCACATAAACACTAACGTCCATTTTTAACTATCCCCAATCATAAAAATTCACTCTGGAAACAGGTTTAGCGTCTCTATTGAATCCGGCCACATATCATCGGACCGCAACGGCAGGAACCAGCAATTTACCCTCATCGGCATCGTCACCAGCAGCAACGACTTCCCCGACAACGGTCAACAAGAGACAACGGAACGCTAATGATAGCCATAAATTTCATCGTCTGAGTTTGGGCAAAGCCTCGATGGTTTTTGGCAAAATTAAATCCCTATGGTCAGCGCAAGCGTCGACGGCCAACGCCGGACTGAATCAATTAGCAGGCACGGGTTGTTCCGAATTCTGATTGCTGTTTTTTTGTTGTTGACTGTTCGTTTTTCTGTGTGGATTACATGATTTTTATTTACTCTTTCGTTGACTTCGTTTTCGCTTTCATATTTGATATTTTGACTGTGGTGTGCACTTCCCATTTGATGTTTGTCAATTTCTTGCTAACTAATTGAGGGCTGCCCTTGAGTGTGTATGTTTATGTCGTTTATGTACAGTAAAAGTTCATCATAGAGTGAAGCCCATGTTACATCACAGAGTAGGTGTTTCATTTATGATGAAAAGAGTGTTATAGATTAGTTCCATGTCAAATTTAAAAAAAAAAAGCATTGAATTTTCGACGCGGCTCTCTCCGGTTTGTATAAGAACTAAAGGAGGGGGGAGCTTTCGTAAGTGAAAGTCTTACAGTGTGTTACAAGGGGGGAGGTTCATAAAAAACTCTTGCATAATTTATGGATGACTCCTAATATAATATCAAGTACATAATTTGATTTCTCCTTCTATCCCAACTGTAACTTTACGCTAACCCTCAACTTAGTGTTCTTGAAGCACTTCCACAGCTATTAATTGAGAGCTTTCTAAGTCTGCACCATTTTTGCATTCGTTGAAACAAAAATCTCTATACCTAGTGCATTAAGCTTAACGAAATTCCGAATAATCAAACATAAATAAATAATTGGTTGCAAGATTTTCCTTTGTGCCTCCCCAACCTCCCCAATGACAATCTTTCATCCAGTTCCGCGCCAGCCGCATTTTGTCGTTACAACAAAATCAATGTTATTTTGTTTCGCTTTTCCCTGTAAAGCGCCCTTTGCCATTTCTTGCACACAGTGCCAAGATGCAACTCAGAGATCCCAGACGGGTCGGTTTCAAAATATTCTTCTTCTTCTTGTTGTTTTACCTACACACAAAGAGCTTATTTTGTGATGAGTCAGCGCTGCCGCATCCAATAATATGCGATAAATTGACTCCGGCCAGATTGGACAGACGATGATCGAGACGACGCTCTGGAGATCGAAGGCACATAATGTTGGCGATCGATGCACCGTGATCGCACATTGCCGTTCTTCTTGAAAGTTGAAAGTGTGCTGCAGCAGCAGCAGCAGCAGCCCAGAGACGAATGTGTCTGAATTTGCTAAATTTTAACCGCTCCGTGACTTCTCCTCAGAGAGGGCGAATCATGTTGAAATAAAACTGCAGCAAACGGCACGGTGTAAAACAGAAAGGTAATCAAATTGGTTGAAGAATTCTAAAGTTTTTCGAGCCAGAAAATTGGTAATAATTTACTCGTTTTAATGTAACGCTGACTGGGCGATTTTTTATGCTACGGTTCATGAGAACAAAAGCAATCCCCAAGTTGAAACATGAGTACCTACTCACTCGCCATGCGAAGGAACGGCTCTCGAGCTCAAAATACAAAGCACTAAAATCAGATACCAAAACATTAATTACGCAACAATGCGCGGTCAATTTTTTTTTCTTGGAGAACAAAACATTTATCAACGGGGAAAATTAAAAGCCAAATTAAGTAAACGTTCTAAAAATAAATTGCATTTTTCATTACAAATCCATTTATTTAGGCTTGCAACTGACCGCCGTTCCTTCTTTCGCTGATCTTTTGTACTAGGTATCATCATGGTACTGTGATTTTTTGTTCCTAAGTCATTTTTCAAATTAAATAAGGTTTCTCATTCTTACATGTTTTTGTTTTGTGCCTAGCAATTGTGTTAACAAACACTGAAAATTTGTTTCGCTTATGGATACTATTTTATCTTTCCATGAGTCCAGTAGGGTGGGTCAATTGGCTCATATTTGTTTGGTGAAATACAACTCTCTGTTCCCCACTGCTCTTTCTATTCGTACTGAGGTCTCTGTGCCACATTTGAACAAATTTTGTTGCGATTTGGATTGTAAACCCGTTAGCCGAATTAAAAAATGGGTCAAACATCCATTCGGCCAAACGTCCGTATGGTAAACAACCATATACACCAAACGAGGTATCATCGTACAATAAAACGATGATACCTCGTTTGGTGTATATGGTTGTTTTCCATACGGACATTTGGCCGAATGAATGTTTGGCCCAATTTTAAATTCGGCTTACGGGTTTTAAATTCGAACAAACACATAGGAACGTCATCGGATTTACTTCGTCATATGAATGAAGGCAAACATGGAATGGAAAAATTAATTTGCTTGGAGTGCTTCATTTGTTTTTAAGAACAAAGAGTGTAAATATTCATAATTTTATTATTCCTTTTTACAAGTATGCAGGCTCGCGGCAGATTCAAGGAATGGATGCGGTGTCCTCATCTGTTTATCCCAGAAGGCAGAATAGGATCGTAGAACCTTGGGGAATTTCTTTTCCTTTTAGCGGTGTCCAAACCTGTGTATCCCAAGCTGGGCAGGAGAGGATCGCAATCCAAAGTTATTCTTTGATCGAAAGTATCTGTCTTTATTAATCAACTGCTTGTGCTTGCTAGGCTATTAGCGTATTGAAAGATGTAACATGATCCGCGCATTCGGGTTCGCTGTTCTGGGTGTAGGAAAGGTAAATGAATAATTCTGTTTGGCAAGGCTATGGTAGAAGTGAACGCTTCTGACGTGAGTGCAATTGCATGATATGCATTTTTCTGTCTTATCGGCAAATTTAGTAAGATCAATTCTTACAGTGCCGTAAATGATTTTAGCTACATATGACACTTTGAACCATGGGGAACGACACTCATTTAGACGTATTTTATTTCAAAAAAGGACTTGCGAACTGGTTATAACTGGTTAGAAAGAATAGATAGGAATAAACAGAAGGATAAATAGGTATGTTCAGGATATCTTGCAAAAAAAAATAAACAGGGATGCATAATAGTAGAAATGGGATGTCTGAAATAGAAAAAAAAAATCTAAAATTTGTTATTTATTGTTGATGTGGATGAGAATACAGATTTGAGGATAAAATAGATATGGGATGCGGATGGATGAGGATGTATCGTTTCCCCTGCTTTGCACTCTTAAAGGCTTTGTGTTGAAGCTTTTGAACTAAAATTGAATCGTTAGAGCTGGAATCATATAGATTTATAGGAGAGAAGACGCCTTCGGATCTTCTTTATCTATTATCATCAGGGGGTTAATGAAGTCCTAGAGCACTGATTTTTAACACTCTAAGACTTCATTTACCCCGCTTCCGATAATAGGTAAAGAAGTGCCGAAGCCGACATTTCCCCTAGTTGATGTTTTCTGCTCGATAGTACAAAAATAGGCGCTTAGGTCGAAGTAAATTTGCACCCTCCTTGCAGCGTAACGAAGCGGAACATAAAAATAAAGTAACCTTTCTGACATGTAGTGTGCGAATTGTAATCATGTTTTCAAGTGTAAAGTATGTTTCACCACCAGCAAAAAGGTCATTTATTTATGTTTATCCTCACTTTCAGGTTCATGTTATAAAGATAGAATCAACTCCAAGAGAGAGCGAGAAAGCATTTTCAAGCATGTTCAGTTTTATTGTTCAATCTGTGAAAGAACCGCTCATGTTCTAAAGTCGGAGCAAACTCATTGAGAGAATGAAATGACTGTGATCATTTCCGATGAATTGCTCAAATTGCATCTAAATTCTAAGTTTTTCAAAAATATTGTCCTTCTGCCTTCTGCCCTTTAGATTCTTTGTCCTTCGACCTACAATCAAATAAACACTCCAAAAGAAGAAGAAATCCTTCTAAATATTTCAAATCTTGCACTAAAAAAATCTCTTTCATGTTTATTAATTTTCCAATTAAAATATTTTTAAAGGCTCAAATATCCTAAATGACTCTACGTAACCTAGAACCAGTAACTATTTTATAATTAAAAAAAAAACATTTATGTGAAACATTGTTCGAGTTCTTCTTACTTTTCCTGAGAGACGACTTGAGTTTTGCTTCCGCTGCCGTGCCCGTAACTACCTTTCTTCTTCCAATCGTTTTTTCTTCTTTATTTTTATTTTATTTGTCGTCAATCGGTGTAGGCCGGAGACGAACCAGCCCAACGCTGAAATTCTCCTTAAAAAAGTTATAAAAAAATCAGTGTATAATTGTTACCGTTTTATAATTGTTGGCTTAAGGGGGTATTCCCAATCTTTTGCCTTTTTTCGGCCTGTTTTTCAATTAATTTTTTTTCAAGGAAAATGAATAGTAATGCGCCTAACTCTTTGGGATTCTTGTTTATTGAACATTAAAGTTTGCAAATAATTTTTTTTCGACATAAAAAAAGACATTATTGACGTCACAAAATGGCGACAAACAGACCCCTGTTCGCCGCAAACGCCTGGACGGGCGAAGACTTTTCTCTGGAACGGCTTCATCTGAAACAGATTTCGTGATGAAATAATAATCTGCATAAGATTCTCTGGAGCTTCTCCCGTTGGCAGCAAAAAATCTTGCAAATTAACAAAATGGCGGCCATATGAAAAAACAGGCGATTTTTAGCCCGCTTTTTTGCAACTTTAAGGTGCTTCAAACAATGTTAAATGTTAATATTTTTGGCTGAAAGTGGGAGAAGCTCCAAAGAATTTAATAAGGAACAAAATGCGCAAAGATTCAAAAAATCTTCGCCCGATAAAAAAAATGTGGTTTCGAGAAAAACGCGTTTAAAGTTTTGACTTTAGTTAAAACCATTTGGGGGTTCTTACCATTAGTCAGCTATGCCTGGACACCGAATTCGCTGATCGGAAAACGGCTTGGGGGGATGAAAGTATATAGTCTAAAGTACAAAAAAACGTGAAAAAAAAAATTTGATTTTTTGAAAAAAAAGATCGGGAATACCCCCTTAAGTGCTATTTTTCGCAATTTTGTCTTTGTTATATAAATTTTAGTAGGTATGTCTTGAGAACAAATAAAAAAAACTACTACTACTCGTTACGCGAGGAAAGCATTGCTTTAATTTGAGTTTTGTCATTGTAATGTCAATGTTATCGAAGTGCTTATTGTATGTGTCTATCATTCGGTTCAAGGGCTCATATTTGGCA